TTCCGATGATCAGGGAGCCTTATGGGTAGACTACATCCCATAGGTCAAAAAGATAGATGATCTGATTGGTAAACTTTTTGATCAAGTATTGCCTGGGAAATACCTCCAAAAGGGGAAAAAAGTTTTATAGGATCTTTCCGGTAGTGAAAAGAAAGGTACAGACGGCTAAAACCATTAGTCGCACAACTATCAGTAAAAGTTTCACATGTCCGATGGTAGCGAAGATCCGGTCGGGGGTGCAGGAGGTTGCTTGTATCACAGGATGTTCTATCCTAAGGGGTACACTTGTGACGGTTGACTGCATGATCCCATAAAACGTAACCCCTCACATGTGTTGCTAGGTTAGATTAGGAAGAGTGAGGCTGGGTCCGATTCCCAGACGGATTTGGTGTACTGGTGTACCCTCATCCCACCAATGATATCTCACTGACTAAATCCTAGTAAGTTTTGGCTAAACTGAACGGTTAAAAAACAGCAGTTGGTAGCTGTTGGCAAAAATTATCCTGGCAAACAAGGAACATTTGCCTTGATATAGCAAATTCTCCACCCCCAACGTCTATACTTAGAGGCTTAGGCTGCAGACGAGTATGTAGGATCCAATAAAAACTGTCCCTGCACCCTGGAGAGACACCAGGGGGCTAAGAAGATAGTTGAAAAATCCTGCGTTGACTGCTTGGGTAAAAAAAAAAAAAAAAAAAAAAAAAAAAAAAAAAAATTAAATTATAAGTTGAAATAGAAGTCCAAAGACTTTTGTACCAGACTGTATTTTAATAGATATTATATAATATAAATTAATATTATTTATTTAAAATACAAATTAATAAAACAATAACAATTTTAATATATTTATAATAATATAAATATATATATTTATCAAAACAATTTAAATTTAATAATACATAAATCAAAAAAAAAAACTCTTTCAAATAATTATCAAAATTTTAAAAAAATTTTTTTTTAAAAAATTTAAAAAAAAATTTAAACATTTATCCAACTTGTAAAAAATTAAAAGATATCAAAAAAAATCAATAACCAATACCTTCTTAAAATAAAACAAGTAACTTCTATTGCAAATTAATCAAATCTATCATTTTTTTTATTTGTTTTATATTAAAAAAATAAAACAAAATTTTATAAAGAAGAAAACAAAAAACAAAATAAACAATTCATATGGTGCAGGAAGTCTTAACTCAAAATTTTGTTTCAAATTGTTACATGCAATATAGATTAATATATCATGTGAAATATATAGTATAAACACCAATCAAATTAATATGATTTTTAATTATTGTCGAGGATGATACTGAAATCGGATAATGCTGAAATTCACGTGATATATATGTCACATGATAAGCAGCGGATTTCCGAATCGCGTTTCCTATAACCAATCAAATATCCGAACGTGAGATTAAGGTACCAGAATTCACACTTAGACAGCAGAACGGTGGTCATTGAAGTGAGAATTCGCTAAGGAGTGTGTAACAACTCACCTGCCGAATGAACTAGCCCTAAAATTAGTTTGACATTGTGAAAAGACAGAGGGTATAAAATAAGTGATGAGGGGTAATCTATCAGTGAAATACTACTACCTTTATCATTTTTTTACTTCGACGCATCCGTATGGTTTAATACATGGAGAAGAATTATCTGTTAGAGAATGGAAGGAATGGTTAAAAAATGTTGAAGAGGAACTAAAGGTAGGGAAATTCTCTTAATTATAAACGGACTTCGTTTTTAATTTTCACGATTCATATGTTATTGTGATATGAAAGGCTTTACAACCTCCGCAAGAAATAGTTGATATGGGAGCCGGAAGAGAAGCATCTATTGAGTTAGAGGATCGGAGTGATATACAGGATATAGATATCGACATGTTAGGCGAAGAAGTAGAGAAACTCCTCAAACTTCGTTACATATGGAACTGACTAGACTTCAGATCACTCGACGTTATTATACTAATGCTGTTCGTTTTGTTCACCAAATACACACTGCTATCCCGACGCTCTGTCAGCTTCTTGTTTCTACGACCAAATCAGAGGTTTTGGAGGCTATTGATTTTTTTGTCACGGCCTACACATATAAGATAGAATTTGCCAGAGAAGGGCTAAAGAAAATGTTATACTTGATTTGGACTAAAGATAATAATGATGAGGAAAAGAGAATTCGGAAACGATTGATCGAAAGCTATCGTAAACTGTATTTTGATTTTGATATTTCAATATCCGATAAAAAGAATGTATACATCATAACGAGGAATTTAATAAGGTATTGCCTAAGCAAGTAATAGGCATGCTTTTTGGAATAAAACTAAAGCGCTACATCAATATTTTAGCTTGACGTTCAATGTGATCCTAGCCGAGTTAACATCTTTAGAACAGCTTCTGAGTACAATATAAATGAGGAAGATATCAGTGATGAATTTATCGCGAAGTTGTGGTCGGTTTATTGTAAGTATATGAGAATAACATGCAAGTCGTAACAGTATATTAATCATATTATTCTTATTTTAATATCTTATATTAGCCGTATCCAAAAAGGAGATTCCGAAAGCATAACGCCGTGATGCTATTATTGTTTTAAGCATGCTTGTGAAAGCAAAAATAAAGATTGTCCAGGAAAAGATTGATCTATTGCTAAAAATTGGACTAGGGTCTTTTGGAAAAATAAGCATCAAAACTGGCTACATTTATTATCACCATTAGCTATTAATTTATTAATCTTTTTTTTAGGCCGATTTTTCTCTTGCTAAATACACTTGCATCACGTTGCAACATCTTGGTGGAAGTAAGACTAAAGTAAAAGATAAGTAACTTGATAAAGATATTTTCCGAAAATTTCTCATTGCACAAATTTGGAATTAATTCGAAGTTCATAAGGTTCGTTAAACAATGATTCGATTCGGTTGCTCATGTCCCATCAAATCTTTCATTGATTGAAACAGATGATTGAAATTCAAACAACTTCGCAAGAATGGTAACTGTTCTTTCCCTCGAGATCTCTGATTTTCAATTATTTGAATTTGTTCATTAACTCCTTATGCTTTCATTACTTACATTTCTGCGTTAAGGTCATTCATTGGCCAATCCGTATTGAAGACATTGTCGGATGGGGAGTTTGGCTTAAATCCATAGAACCGTAACTACAAAACTAAATGCTACTTAATTGATGTATGATCTGTAATGCTATTATCATTTCACAGAATATTAACGATTTTATTATAATAAAAAAAATCTGTAATGCTATTATCATTTCGCAGAACATCAATGATTTTACTATAATAAAAAAAAAGGTTTGAAAAAACTCTTTTTGTTCCCATCATAACCCTAATCTAATCTATTCTAATTGTGACCCTAAACTAACACATTTCTGTAACCGATCTTTCAATTCACATTTTTTTTTAAAAAAAATATATATTTCTAAAAAAAAAAAAAATATTTCTAAAAAAAAAAAAAATTTTCTAAAAATCGATTACAATTTTTTCTTTATAGTTCAGACCATACATGTGGTCGTATTACCATAAAAGGAAATTTGATCGACAATACGATTCCGAATTAAATACGAATTCCAATTATTTACTATATGTTACTTAGTAATTCTACCATAATACGGTTTTTGAAAAATGTCCAAATTCAATTCCACCACATGTATAGTCCAGACCCGTTTGACAGGAATTTGAACATCTTTGCCATTCACTTCAACAATTGCAGTGTGATTATTGGACTTGAGGGACTTAAAAACACCTCGTTCTGAAAAGGTCGGCTGCAACTTTCTCTTGTGAGTTTGTTGATTCATATTATGATCGAGTGCAATAGCAACTTCAGTTCCAGTTTTGATTGTATTATTTGCCATTTTCTTTCTATGCACATTATTACAGCCTAACTTTTCACGATACTTTTCAAGTGAAGCATTTATGGATTGGTGAATTTTGAGCATATGTGAAATGCATTGTTCCATAGCAGCTTTGTCTGTTATAGTTTCGGAGGTGGTGGTTTCAAAAACAGTGATCTTAGAGGTGGCAGTGATGGTCTTAGAGGTGGAAGTTTCAGAAGTGGCAATAGTTCTGGAGAAATCTGTTATAAGCAAAAAAAATTGTATGTTTAGTAACTATAATAATATAAAAAATAAAATCAATTCCAAATTTTAAGTTTTATATTAAAAATGATATAGACCGGGTGTATCATATACACAATGCATTTTCCATCCGAAAATTGCTTCGTGCGGGGTGCAGCCATGTGCTTTGTGGACAGTTGAATTATATGACATAACAAACATATCAATTACATTAATCCAGTCTTTTCTCTGTAACTGGTTACTTTGATTCCACAATAACTTAGTAAAACCATGGCCCACTGTCTGATTAAGTCGCTCAATTTGACCTTGTGACTGTGGATGGCGAGGCCTACCATGCCTGATTGTAATATTAAGAGCTTCACAAATTTCGGTAATAATTCTTGCAACAAACTCTTTACCATTGTCACTTTGGATAATCATAGGGGGTCCAAAAACTTTGAAAACATCTTTTATAAGATGTGTTGCGACTGTGCTTGCTTCCTTATTCTTCATAGAAACTGCAATCAAAAATTTAGAAAACACACAAATACATGTAAGTAGCCATGCAAAATCATTATTGACTTTAGCAAAATCTTGGAAATCGATTAGATCAATTTGAATATGCTGACATGGTGCTGTTGATATCACATTCTTCATGTCAGTTTTTTTTTTGATAGAAGTAGTTATGATACAAGTATTGCATTGATTTACATATGTTCTTACTTCCTCTTGTGTAATTCCAATATGTTTTTCTGAAATTGCAAAGAAAGTCTTGTGATACTCCCGATGATTTGCTTGATCATGAAAATGTTCCAAAATTAAAGCACGTATCTCTTCATCATATTTAGGGATTACACAACGTTTTTCCAATGTTATACCATCTTTCATAATTGGCTTGACATAAAGAAAATTATTTTCATCAACTTCAAATTTTTTGCAATGACGAATAAAATTGGATTTTTTTGTGGGGTCTTGTTGAATATCATTTGGTATAGTTTTTGACTGAAGATATTTAATGATTATTTGATATTCTTCCAAAGTTTCTGGAATTTTTGGAATCGCTGGCATATTTTTTTTTTTGTTTTTATATAAAATTCAGAAATTTTAAAAAATCTACTACTTATCATATGATATATATCACATGAATTTCAGCATCATCCGATTTCAGCATCATCCTCGACAATTATTATAATTTATTGACCAATAGAATATTATAATCAATAAAATTTATTAAAATTAATTAATTAATTAATAGTCACATAATAAATTTTGTTTCAATTTCTAAACTAAATATAAACTAAATATAATAAAATATTCAAAAGTATAAAAGTTTAAATCATTATAACTTTTTATATTAAAATTATTTAAAAATTTTAACTGATAATTTGAAAGAGCTTGTTTCAAAGAACAATATTACCTGTTTATTTTTTTTAAAATCTATTTTTATAAAGCTGTGATAAATTTTAAAGATACTCTATTTTATTTTTGAGTTAAGACTTCCTGCACCATAGTAAAATTAAAAAAAAAACTAATATCAATTTTATAAAGCTGTTAGTCAGTTGTATATTATATTAGATACTTCTTTTAGATACCAATAGGATTTTGCTCTGATCAGATTATGTTTAATAAATCAGATAATTTCAAATACCAGAACAAAATCAAAGGAATATTAAAAGTTTTTTTTTTAAATCTTGGATAAAAAGAAAAAATAAAACAAAATATATATAATTTATACAATTATAAATCTTACATATCACAAAAATTTCTATTTACTTTAGAAAAATCCAAGTCAACTTATTCTTCCAAAGGATTTGTTAAATATAAATATATATATATTTCAAATCAATAAAAACAACAAAAATAAATCAGTTACACAAATATAAATATATCATAAATCTTTTAAAGCAACATATACCAACTTTTCAATTTACTTTATAAAAAAAGATAATTATACATATATATAAAATTATTTCAAGAAATCAATATGTATTTAAATATAAACAATAAAGCAATTTTTATTCATATGTTAATTTGATAAAGTTAAATAATATAATAGATTCTATATTAATTTCTATAAAAAATCTAATAATAGATTACCTTAAAATATTTGAGGATAAAGATGAGTCCTTAAATTATTTGTGAGGACATAATTCAAATATTCCTTATTATTAAAAATTTTTATTTCTATATTAAGAAATAAAAAAAAACTACCTATAAAGATTCTTTATAGTTTTAAGTATCTATACAAATCATTTCTGGAATTATATTCCTATTGAAATAAAAAGCTAGAAATTATGTCCTCTAGGGGATGTGGATGTAAAGGGACGTAAATTTTATATGCTAAATATTTTAGGGATCCATCTTTACTTGAGAACAATTACAATAAAGAAAAACAAAGGTGAATATATACTCTTATAAAAAACAGCTTGACAATATAATATCAAAACTTGTAAAACTAAAAACAATTATATACACTACAATAATTAATACTGTGGTTACAAAACTTTTAAATATTAATTTTTATATAGCAGTAAAATAGGTACTGGTCAAAAAGTATATTAAATAGATTTGGATATTCAACTAATTAAACATAAGTATTCTAAATAGCCATATATTAGAAAATCCATAGCAAGTAATACAAATTGTAAACATCTTATAATCAATATAAGATCCATGACAGCAACAAAGTCTAAAGCAAAAAAACAAAGCAGTTACAACTTATTTATATATAGAAAATAGAAATCACAATTGTTATACAATATAAAATCCAATACAGTATTTTATTACAGAAGTTGTCAATCTGAAAATAATTATAAAAGTTCAATCAATAGTTCAAGAAACAGTTAAAAAAGAGATACAAGTTTTAGAAGTAATCATGAAGAATCTTTCTTTATTTAATAAAGATGATAAAGTAATATCAATTAATATATTTTTAGCTAGAGAAGATATTAGAATCAAGCATGACTATACAACTAGAAACAGATAATATCAATTGACAAATCCATTTTATATCAATAAAAAGAATTCTTTCAAAGCAGAAATATTAACAACAATTATACTTGAAAATGACAAATTAGAATAACTCAAGTATATAACCAATATATTTAAACTTTCAAAAGAAAATCAATACTTAATTCAATTAATATTTTGGAATAACAATAGATAATATATTATTTATTTCAAATATGAAGAGAATCTAAGATTCTGTATAAACAAAATCAAATATAAAAATAAAGGAAATCTTCACCTAACTCAAATTTAGAATTCAAACATTTATAAAAAAAAACAAGTCTTACCTAACTTAAAAAAAAAAGATATTAATAAGACAAGTAATACAAAATTAAATCCATTCAATCTTAGAGATAGAGATATTAAAATATAATCTTGAATCAAATATAATTCTATTTCCAAATAAATAAAGAAAAGCAATTTCAACAAGTTACAAAACTACTTGAAATTTCAATAAAATATAAGAGTATTAGAAAAAAACAAGTGGATAATTCTAAGTTTTGATAACCTAATAGATACTTCCATTTGCAAACAGCAAATTCAAAATATATTTCTTATATAAATATCCTTACAAATGTTAATAACAATATATCAATTTCAACAATCTTCTTGGAAAATTCAAAAGACATCTCAATAACATCTTAGCCTAATACAAGAAAAATAATTTTGATAAATATTTCAATAAACTATATAATCAAAAAAATTTATCAAGTTATTAACAAATATGAAAAGTTAAACTTAATCAAGATAATTAAGGGAAACAATAATTTCAATAATATAATAATATTTTTTCAGACTACAAAAATTAAACTAAACTCAATATGATCTAAAAAAAACTCTTTCCACTGATCCCCTTGCCAACCCAAAAAAACAGACGTTCTCAAAAATAAGTTTTATTTTTGATAATAAAGTCTATACACTTTCTTTAAAAACTATATTTCCTGAAGGCAGGTGCCTCTCCCACTTGTTTACTCTTCCTTCTCTGAAAAACTTTGGATATTTCAGCGACAAAATAAACAAAACTTTACCCATCTGATCTATGGCAAGAACACCTTACTGGGAAGAAGAAACCTATAGAAAAATACCCTCCACCACTTTCTCCAAAGGTCTGGAAGTCTAGAAAGTGAACCACTAGTGAATGCATTTCCTAAGCTCCATAAGAACCTTAGGTCCACCATAAGCGAACACCTTGGTCTTGAGGCGGGTGGATAAACTAGTTGGTGCCTATCAAGTGAATGCATTTCCCAAGCTCCATAAGAACCTTGGGTCCACCA